CAGATGAGTTACAGGGATCTGTCTGGGCCAGAGGCTCTCTCAGTGTGATGGCAGCATCAGCCGCAGCGGTGTCACCTGGGAGCTTGTTAGGAATGCTGATTCTTGGGCCCACCCCAGACCTACTGAATCAGAAACTGGGACTGGGGCCTGGCAGTCCGTATTTCACATAGCCCGCCCGGTGACTGATGACACTGGAGTCCGAGAGCCACTGGCTTTGGATAGGATAGAAGCACAGAGGAGAGGCAGCCAATTCCTGTTAGCTGGAGGGTATCAGGGGCGGCTTCCTGGAGGCGGGGAGGAGGATAAGCAGAAGTTATTGAGACTGGGGGTGGGGGTTTGGGAGGGTATTCCAGGCACGTGGGATGATGGCCCAGAACCAGGCAAGAGCAGTCTACGCAGGCAGTTATTGCAGTTGCAAGGGTGGAGGCAAGCAGAGGCCTGGAGGTGAACTTGGGGAGGTGGCAGAAGGCAGGTGAAGCTGGTCCGGTTGCCCTGCTCATGAGGTGGGACTTCCCGTGTGGTGCTGGGGAGCCATCGCAGGGCTTAAGCAACAGAATGGCAGATCTGAAAATTATGGAGATTTGAAAATTATCCAAGAATGTCCAAGTCCACATCCAGCATTTCTCTGAGGGAGGCTCTGAAGGTGTCTCCCTCCAATTTCCCAAAGAGGGCAAGCGACGTACCAGGGTCACCCAGCAGGTGGAGGCAGGGCTTGGAGCCAGGCTCTGATTGCCCCTTTTGTCTCCTTTCTCCGCTCATGTGCGTCCTCATCTTCTCCCGTCAGGTGTGCTCCCTGCCCGCTCGACTTCCCTCTGCTCTCCGCTCCCCAGACAGTTTGGGTCACCTATAGACCTCACCCCAGCCGGATCCAGGCATACAGCTGCCCTGAGGTGTGGAACTCCCCAGCATGTCTCTGGAGGGCAGACACTGCCTGTCCTGTCCCAGGATGGTGACCCCTGGGCATCGACGATTCAGCTCCATTTCTTCTCCCACCTTTCCCTTCCTGGTCACAGTCAAGGTCAACGCTAGCCCATGCAGCACCTTGTACATTAGAAAAAAAGCACCCCTTCCTGGGGAACTTGACTGTCAGCAGCTGGAAATTGTCATAGTGTACTGATTTTGTTAGAGCGAGCACTGGACTTCCAACTGCTGGAACACTGTACAAATACCAGGCGAAGACACACAGTCTACGAGTTGCCTGCCCCTTTCTTTGGCACCGCCCCCTGGTGTAGAGTACAATCTGCCCACGGTACTCGGCAATCTGGAGACCACTCCACCCCTAACCCTCCCTAAAAAACCAAGTATCAATTAACCTTTTGTAAACTAATGTTTCCAACACCCTTTTATCACCCCCCAGCGAGGAGTTCCATTTGCTTGCAGGTAAAGCAAATCCCCTCTCTGGCTTTGGTATAAGTGGAGATTTCCAATTTCCACGCATCAGTTTGGCTGAAAAGGGGCCTGGCGACCTGCTCAGGGCTTCCCAGGGCATGTGAAGCTGTGAGGGGTGTCCTCAGTGGAACTAAGGTGAGGGAAGTCCTGGGTCAGGGACTCAGAAATGATGCGTCTATGTCCTTTTCCTAGGAAGCTGTGAGCCGAATGGGGAGACCTGAGCTGGACCGGGAGAGAAGCTGAGCACCCCAAGGCTGAGCCTAATCCCCACTGCCCTCAGACACCCTCCCCTGACCCCAGGCCTTTCGGGGGCCTGGGGCAACACCCACTGCCAGTCCTGCTGGGGCAGAGAGTCTCCTTTACAAATAGCCTCCACTTCCCTGCAATCCTTCCCACCCCTCCACTGCCCTGCTCTGGGCAGACTGATGGACGTCAACGCTGACTGGTGCCGATGGGCCTTGCTCCCAACCTTGGCCTGAGTTTGCTTCTTGCCGATGGGCCAGATCCTTCCTAGTCTGCCCAGATCCACCCCACGGGGCGAAACTCTTGGGGGTCCAGCAGGACGGAGCCAAGGACACAGCTTCCTTGTTTCCTGTGGTGTCAGGTGACGAAGCTCTTCTACTTCTGTTTTGTTTTTGTTGTTCTTGTTTTTGAGACAGAGTCTCACTCTGTCACCCGGGCTAGAGTGCTGTGGCGTCATCCTAGCTCACAGCAACCTCAAACTCCTGGGCTCAAGCGATCCTCCTGCCTCAGCCTCCCGAGTAGCTGGGACTACAGGTGCGCTCCACCATGCCTGGCTAATTTTTTCTGTTTTTACTAGAGACCGGGTCTCGCTCTTGCTCAGGCTGGTCTCGAACTCCTGACCTCAAGCGATCTTCCTACTTTGGCCTCCCAGCGTGCTAGGATTACAGGCGTGAGCCACCGCGCCCGGCCCTGTTTTGTTTTAAACTCCCCAGCGTACTAAAGGTTGACTTGGAAGCACTGGACTCCCCCTCAGCTGGTCACTGGACTCGCCTGCTGGAGCTCGTCTGGCAGCGGGGACAGCAGGATGGTTAACAGCCCCCCGGCGGGGATTATGGTGCCGCCGCGCTGGGACAGGCTGCCCAGATTTCCCGAGTCCCGGTGTGGTTGTAGAGGGACGTAGAAGAAATGGAGGCCAAATGTCCCTTCTCCCCACCAACGCAAATGAGGGCAGACTCTCTGCTGTTCACAGCTCCGTGAAAACATTCTGCGAGAAAGATTCCTCCAGCCTCACATTTTCCAGCCCGTCTGGAAAAAAACTGCGCCCCGCCCTGCTCCCCAGAGAGCAGACAACCTCCCGCCCCAGCCAGGCCCGGCTGCCCACGGGCCTCAGGCACGTTTGCTCACCACATCCTGGAATGCAGAACCGGGCGGATGGGGGAGGACGCGGTGACACTGGACCAGAGCCGAGGAGGCCGCGTGCACCTCTGACCCCTGGGGTGGGTGTTGCAGCAGCAGGGCCTGTGCAGCCTGCATCCGGTCCAGGGAACAAGACGTACCTTCGCGGGCCTGAGCGTCCTGCGTCCTTTGCCTACTCTGGCCCCGACCACTCACGGGACAAAGCCGATGGAGGTTCTGGTGGTGGCGAAGAGTGGACGAGTGGCAGCTGGCCGCGGCCTCTCGTCCAGGACCGGTCTCCGTGTTCGCAGAGGCCCGAGGCGCAGACCAGGGGGAAGGAGGGTTTCTCTCTCGCGTGCTTCCTGGTACCCAGGGCGGACTCCAGCTTAATAATTATCGCTTTAACCCAAAGCCCGTGTTTACAGCCCACCGCTCTTAATGTCAGCTCTGCTACGTTATCAGTTATCAGTAAATCCACTTGCGTATTTTCCCGCACTTCAGTTACTTTCTCTTTTTCTCATTTTGAGGTAATTATTAATAAAAGAATTGTTCTTACATTAGTTTCCAAGTTGCCAGATAGAATACGGGACATCTCGTTAAATTTGAATTTCAGACAATGAATAATTATTTAGTAGAAGTATGCTGCCAATGTTGCAATCATTTATTGTTTATCTGAAATTCAAATTTAACCGGGTCTCCTGTATTTTTATTTGCTAAATCTGGCAACCCTAAATTAGTTCCTTTCTCCTTTCTCTCTCTCTCTTTTTTTAATCAACACCAATGGATCGTTTTTAAGGTGCCAGCCGCTGTGCTTTCAAACTGGGAGGTCTCCGAGTGCGGAGGGCAAGGCCAGGGTGCTGTGTTGCCTCCCAGACAAGCACATCTGAATGGCTCAGCCCTCCTGTAACCTGGTTAACACCTCCGGCTCAACCGGTTCTGACCCCATTAGCTCTGACTCACCCACTTTGGCTCCTGACTTCTCAGAGGGAGGAAATTTAGGTTAACTATGTCCTGATGTCACTTGCCCACCTTTTAAAAACCTTACAAAGCCGCGGGATCTCCATGCATCTCAGTGTTCTCATAAAAGCATCTGTGGTGGGAGTTAGGGGGCTCACCCTTACACAGCACGCTCATGCAGCGTCCCACCCCCCATATTCCTATTGAGGCAAAAGCCCCATAACCAGTGGGGTCTGTGAGCATCCTGAGGGCAGGGGCCGTGTCTTTTGCATTTGTGTATTCCATAGAGTTAGCATCCTACCTCGTACATAGTAAGTGCTCAATAAATATTGGTTGAATTAATTAACTAATGGATTAGACCAGGGGTCCCCAACCTATGGTGAGTTGTATAATGTTACAATATAATAATAATAGAAATCAAGTGCACAATAAATGTAATGCACTTGAATCATCCCAAAACCATATCCTCCCTCCCCGGTCCACAAAAAAATTGTCTTTCGTGAAAACCGTCCCTGCTGCCAACAAGGTCGGGGACCACTGGATTATACAATAAGGGAGAGGGCGCTAGAACAGGAGTTCGCAGAGCCCAGTCCTGGCCTGGTTCTCTCTGTAGCTGGCTGTGTGATCTCGAAAAAGGCATTTCCCTACTCTGAGCCTGGGTTTCCTTGACTGCAGAGGAGGATGATAATGCTGCCTTCTGCTGCTCTCCTCAGAGAAGTACGGTGAGCCTTCCAGGGTTGGGGAATGGGCATTCACGTGTTATCCGAGAGGGGGGAGGATGCCTTTGATGTCTTTCCATGGAGAACGCATTTCATGGACCAAAAACCCCGTGTTATGTTCTGACAATTTTTACCCCGGTTCTAAGTGACAGAATTTGGGCACCAGAGTTTAGGGACTAATAAGAGATGATGCAGAATCAGGACTGGTCCAGATTTTCCCAGACGTATAATGAACTGTCACCTTGAGAGTCACAGAGTTGTAGAATGTCAGTTCTGGAGAGTATCTTCTCCCCACGGTCACCTAGCCTGGGGGCAGCTGGACTAAAACCCAGGTCTCGTGTTACCCAGCCAGGACACTTTCCTTCACTGACTCAGCCAAGTGGCACTCTCTGCGTCCCAGCTCCGGGTGTCCCATCCTGGAGAGGATCCAGAGAGAGCCTCAGGCAGGGACAAGGAGGCTGACCCCCACAGCCCTGCAGGCACCAGACTCCAGACATGTGTCAGGTGGATATCTGTCTTGCCTCCACGGTCAATAATCCAGATCACAGCTTTATGTGAGTCAATTTCTTTATTTGCTCCAATAATACAATACAAAAATGAGAGTCAGATGCCAGCATCGGGAACTCAAACCAAATACTTACACGGCTTAAAGAACATCATTCCAAATAAGAAAACTATGCACAGAAGGTTCCTGACCTTCATTTCCACACTTATTCCAATTCTTCACATTTTGGTGCTGTGTTCCTGAACACTGCCTAAAATAAACCCATAAATAACTCACCTCTCCCCCACTCCTCAGAAGCAGCGATAAAACCTAAATGACTTTCAGCATATGCTCAGCTGAGCTTCCTAAAACTTTGTCTCACGTTCGAGGCCAGTCCCATCTAAGTGGCCTCTCTACCCTCAGCTTCTCCTCCTTCCCAGGCCCACCCCACGGCGCTCACCACAGGTTCAACACGGCAACACCGTGTCCGCCGTGGGTAACACAATTTAGTTTGCCATGCAGGCTGTGACATCCTCTCCCCGATGACCACATGGTCCAGGCAAAGTCCAAGGGAGTTGTACGTCTGTTTGCAGTCTTGTTGGGCCTGCTTGTAGGTATGGACGTGTGGCAAATTGCCCACCCGAGTCCAGCTATTGAAACTGTTCAGCTGTGTAGAAGGCAGAGCCTCCAGCACCCTACACCTCACCTTTGTGCACACACACAAAAAAGCCCTTTTCTCAAGACACTCTACTGCCATCAGCTGGAACACTGTCATTATACATCTAGAAATCTACAATGCCTAGGATATGAATAGCAACCCCTGGGGTATGATGCTCTTGAACAGTGCACATCTGTGCAACCATCCATAGCGGTCCAGCTTGAAGCCATCCTCTACTTCCTGAAAAACATCCAGATGTAGCTATAATAAGAATAATAACATACATGGACGTGGCACTGTGTAATTTTTGGAATTCTTCACATCCATTTTCTCACTGACTCAGCAAGCCCCAGGAGATGGGAGAGGTAAAAGGTATCAGCTTCATTTCTCTGGTCAGAGAATTACAGGATACAGAGTTAGAAGGATTCTGAGAGATCAGAAGTGCCCAGTCTATAGTTCTTTCCCATGTGGGGCCTGCAGAGTTCCTGGGAGGCATCTATAAATCCATATGAGCATTAAGCACTGTTGACCAACCGAATAAATGACATGTTGCACACAGATGCACATCTGTTTGTGTGTGGACGTTCTGGTCAGAGATTAAATAAAAAATTATTTTTAAAACTGGACTCAGTTAAAACATCTCGAAAAATGTCAGTAGGCCTTCCGAATGACAGTCTAGAATCCGGGGTCCCAAGAGGAGACGGGACGTGTTCAGGGCCCTGCAGGAGGTTTGAGGCAGGGGGACTCCCAGCCTGGTGCAAGATTGCCCCCAACATGGCCTCTGCATCTCGCCCCGTGGGAAGGTGCTGTGTGCCTTCTCAGACGATGGCGCGTGGACACAGAGTAGTTGTCTGCTCTTGTCTTCAGTCACGTTTGTGAGGCACGGGATTGGGACATCATGGAGCCTCTTCAGCGTCTCCTGGCTAAAGCTGCCAATTGTGTGGCCAGTTCAAGGGAAATCTACCACGAGGCACAGCTTTCAATCTGGACTTTGAGTGTCAGGACTTCTGATGTTCTGGGAGGAGAAAAAGAACATAGGCATTAGCCACAGCCCAACTATGTGTGGGTCCCATTATCCCATCAACACCCCACGCTGGCCCCCACCTCTGTTCCTGCAGCGCCTCCTGCTGACATCGCTCTCCCAATCCCTCCTCCCCAGATGGCCTCCTCGCCTCAAAGGTCAAAATCAGGGCCTGCCACCTCCTGGAAGCCTCCCAGGACCAACTCGCTTTTTTGGCCTCAGCGACCAGTCATTTGGCATTTGATTGCTGTTTAATTTGGTCATGAGTAAACAGTTGTCTTTTCTATTAACAGATGAAGTCTTTTCTATTAACAGATGAAGGCAGAAGGTTGCACAAGCCCTCACTGCACTTTGCACGGCTTAGCGCGCAATAGGCCGTCAGTATCTACTGCTGGGTGAGCAGCAGACCTATAGTGTGGGAGGTGCTGGGTGAAGGGGTGGCTTTAAAGGAGTGAAGTGACTTGTTTGCTGGGGTTGGACAAACAGGACCAGGACTCTGCATCTGAGTGAATGAATGGTTGGTGAAGCAGACATGCGGTCAGGGCAACTATTTCTATGACACCTTTCACAAAGAAGTCAGATCGCTCTGGAAGCTATTGCCTAACCCACCCTAGAGGGCAAATTATCCGTAACATCCCCGTTCTCGGGGAAAAGACAGTGAGCAGGTGAAAAGAGAGGTCTGTGGCCATGAGGAGTTCCCACCAGGAACACAAGCCAAGGCAGAGCAGAGCATGCGAGTGACAAGGCAAAACTGTCCTGAAATACAGCAATTTTCTTGAGAGACTTCTCAAAGAAGTCTCGAGAGGCTTCTAAAAGTAACTCCAGGAGAGGAAGACGGAAGTGCTTTGGTGATAGGAACTTCACTGCAAAAAGCGTCTGGTTTCCCAGAGGACCACTCAGATGCAGAGTCCTGGTCCTGTTCATCCAACCCCAGCAAACAAGTCACTTCACTCCTTTAAAGCCACACCTTCACCCAGCATCTCCCACACTGTAGGTCTGGGCCACATGTCTGTGAGCCGGTTGTCACTCTTGAGTGAATTACAGAAGGACGGGGAGATCTGTTCATCAGAGTCCGCCAGAAAACATAAAAGCTCAGAATTTTTTGAAAATTAGTGGCAAACAGCATCTCTAAACAGACTATCTCAAAGTCTCAGGGGAGGGAGGATGGTCAGGAGGAGCAGAGAGTGATCAGCGCGGTGAGGTGCTGGCCGGGGAGAGGCGGTTCTTAACCAGCAAGGTGAGCTCAGGGAGTGGCGGCTTCCTGGAAGCCTCCCAGGACCACAGCCCCTGGAGCCCTCTGGTCTACCCCAGCCACCCCTTATTGGATATATAACCTTACTTTGTTGGTTAAATTTTATGACAGCCTAGAATTGGGAAGCCGAGCAGCAGAACCCGTGAAATAACAACAAGGAAAGCTAAGATAGCGGCCGGCCCAATGCACCACACTCATCTCAAAAAGTATGAGAATGTACACACAATTGGAGACCAGAGCCAGATAAAATGATGGTAAAAATGGGGTAAAATCAGTGAGGTTTGGGAAAAGAAAAAAATCATTGTGGTATAGAATTGTCTCAGAAGGTCTCAGTGAGGAGGTGGCATTTGAGCAGAACTCGGAAAGTACTGAACTAAGCAGGGGAGGGGAGAGGACAGTAAGTAGATCTCCTGGAGGCCGACTGTGAGCCCGTGGTCCCTTGTGCCACACTGCCACTGCCCTTCCCGCCCTCTCTCACCAGCTGGGACTCCCTGTATGGGAACTGGGTGCAACTGTCGTGGCTTCTTAAGCCCATGAGGATAGACACGGCGTGGCTCTTGTGGCCGGCAAATTTGTTCGCCAAGCCAAAGCCAGACCGGTAGGGTCTCTTGGCGAGGTTCCCGTCCAGCTCAGAGGAGCGGGCCACCTGGCTGTGCAGGGTGGCTACCAGCTTGCTGAGGGAGGAGTCTGAGAACTCGTGGAAAAATCTCTTAAAGCTGGGGTGTCGTCTGATCTGGAAGCAGAAATGAAGGCGGGCAGTTAGTGGTGCAGGCACGGACCCCTCTCCCAGCTCCACGCAGCACGGCTGGCACCTGCATGTCCCTGGGGCGAGCTCCCCTTGTTAAGTTCCTCTACCACCCGCCCCCACCCCAGCCTCCCAGAATCTGTCCTGCAAGGTCCCGCTCAAAGCAGCAGGACCAAGTCGGGGCGGGGAGGGAGAAAGTGGAGGTCTTTAGGCTCAGGTAATTCAGAACCAAACAGCCCCAGAGCCTGCTCTTCTCCCTCAGACACCCCCTATTTCATATATAACCTTACTTTGTTATTTACATGTTATGACAGTGGAGAATCTGGGTGCTTAAGTAGCATTTACTAGCCGTGTGGCCTCTCTGAGCCTCTGTTTGGTCATCTGTGAAATGGAGTAATAATATCCACCCCCAGTATTGCTGCGGGGAATTAAGTGAGAGTGTCGGTGTAAAATCTTTAGTGCAGAGCAGACACTAGATAAATTTTGGTTCCCACTCTAAGGTCCCTCCAGTAAGCTCCGTCCTCTTAATACCTAAATGTGTTGGGTTGTTTTTCCCCAGGGGCAGACCCGGACATGAGGACTTGGGCATGGCTAGTTCATTTGTTCAGTGAGCCCAGGGGGCACTGCTGGAGGGTTGGAGAGCTGGGACACGGGTGACACAGCAGCCCAGTCAGTGCAGCAGTTGGAGCTTAATCCCCTCAGGGCAGGCCGGGACCCAGCACAGAACAGCTGCTCAGGGTTGTGTCTCCCAAGGGCGAGGGAGCGGGGGTCTTCATACACCAACTCCCTTCAGCCACCGGTTGAAGGCCACGCTTGGGGAAGTGCGGGGTGTCAGTTCTGCCTACCACATGGACAGAAAGCGGCTCCGGTCCACAGACAAAAGGATGCAGGTGCTGGCAGTTGGGAGCGGGGCCGGTGTGCGCTCTGGCGGTAAGGTGAGGTGCCAACAGCGTCAGCCACCCTGATGACTCATCTATAACCTGCCCTCCTCACACGTGATCTGTGTTTGCCTCTCCAAAGAGACTGTGTTTTTCAAGGGCAGGGAACATTTTGTTACAGGCTATCTAGCAGGGCAGCAAAATCAACAAGCTTGAAAGAACTGGAGACCGTAGAAATGCTGAAGTTTGTGGCCAAGACAGAGAGTCACCAGGGAGACAGCCAAGGACGGTCAGCCAGGTTGGCGGCCAGGCGTGGACAGAGGAGGCCTCCAGGGAAGGGGACAAGAGCTGAACTTCAATGGTGGATGTGGATAGGGGGAGGTCCTGGCTGGCGGAGGGACCGCCATGAGCACTGTGTTACTTTAAACTAACTGTTACCCCATCTGCTGGGTGGCTGGAATTTTCTACATATGCATTAAGCTTGGTCAAGTAGATAATTATCTCTCTTTTTGCAAAAGAGGAAACCGAGGCTCAGAGAGGTTAAGGGATATGCCCGAAGTTGCCCAGAGATGCACACTGGGGGCTGAACCCAGGTCTCAGCCAGGGACAGTGAGCCCTGCAGTTGGCCGGGGAGGGCGGCATGGTGCTCACCTGCCGGCCCAGCTGGCCGTCCACCTCCTGGAGAAGCGCCACCAGCTGCTGGATGATGAGCTCCTCTAAGGGAGGTAAAGAAGGACTGAGCTATGGTGACCAGGTGACACCTAGTCCCCTTTCAACAACAACACATCCATCAATTAAAGACAGTATTTTATCTCTAAACCTCAGCACACAGATTAGTTATGACAGGACCAATAAAAAAAAAATCTTCCCTTAAACTAGAGCAGGAGGGCGAGAGCTTTGTTTGCATTTGCTTATTAGCAATAGAAGGACTCAGGCTTGCGAGCCTGTCCTGTAACCGCATTCAGCTCCATTTGACAGGTGGGAAACCGAGGCCTCCCCAGCATCCCTTATCCAGGCTCCCGTGGGGTCCCATGGTCAGAAATGGGAGTTTGGACAAGAAGCAGCTGCTGAGAATGCGAGGAGGGGAAAACCCAAGGCTTCCGACGCGGCGGGAACGCACCCATCGACCTGGGTTAGAAGCAGTGATGTGCTGGGACTGGCTCGTACTAAGTTCACTGTAATATTCGTGAAATTCGTGAACCAGTCGTTATGAACTCTTGGCAGCTTGCAGTCAGCCAAGGTAGAAATATGTACACCATGGAAACGTGCAAATGCTCTACAGCAGGGCTTCCCCACAGAGAGCCTGTTTGCCAGCGCAGGCCAGGAATTTTACACGGAACATCCAGGCAAGCTAGTGGGGGATGTCGGTTATGTCCCACAGAACATGGGATAGACAGGCATCCTCTGTCCGGAGGAGGCTCCACTGCAACTCTGCCCCGACAGCCCAGGGTTAAAGGCCAAGCCTCTGCCCCCTGCCCTGCTCTAGAGTCTCCTGGGGTATTTGCCCTTCCCAGGTCCCTCCCTGGAACCATGCCCTGCTCAGCCTGTGAAATCCACCGGGCAGAGAGGCCCCAAGAAGCTGACCCGGGTGAGAGCAGGGGCAGTACTCACTGGATTCGCATGCTCCGTCTGGCTGAGGTCCCCCTTCTGGCTTGTGGCTTCTGGCCTGGGGAGGTGCTTCTGAGATCCCAGCTGGGCCCCCCTCTGCAGACGAGGGCTCCTGCAACTCGAGACCTTCTGGATCTGAGGGCAGAAAGAGTTGGTGTGTTTTGCACAGTCCCAGGTCCACATGCACAAGCTGAACCCAGGCCCTGAGAAGACGCTGTTCGCGCACGCATGAACGCACGAGCAGGAGGGGGCTCCTGGCCTCCAGGCTCCCCGTGAGCTCCGCCCAGCTCCGCCCCAGAGGCGGGCCCAGTGCTGTCCTGGCCTTCCCCACCAACTCCTCTGCCTCCTCACCGTCTGGGAGCAGGCACAAGTGCCCACAGGCCCCACCAAGGGAGCCCCCTCCCCCTTTAACTCTTCGAGGCTTTCCAAGTCACTTAGCCTGTCTGAACCTCACTTTTCCCATCTGTCGGATGGGAGTGATAAGACTGCCCTCGCAGGGCCGTGAGCTGGTTAAATGAGACAGCGGTGTGACAGTGGCATGCATGGGCCCTCGGCAAGTGTCAGGGCAGTTACTGTGCAGCAGGGCCTCAGCTTTGGTGGAGTGGAAACCGGGCCCAGGCCAGAGCCTAGTTCATCACACTCACGTCTCCTGTTTTCTCTTAGGGTTCCAGGCGATTTTGATGCACAGATGCTCTGATCTCGCATCACAGTTGTTTTTAAGTGTGTGGCGGGGCTGGGGGGGGCATGTATTGTGAGTGGGGGGTCCTGCTAGCAACCAGCCCCTCACCTTTCCCCACTCAGAGCAGAAAGCAACAGGCACATGCCACACAGCGGCCACCCCTGCCCTGGAGGAAGCCTCCATTACCACGGCAACACCAGGCCTGCGTACCAAGGCTGCTGGAGACGGAGGGCCGGTGGCCACCGACACACAGGGGCAGGTAGCTGGGCCGCTTGGGCCGCCGGGCCTCCGGGCTGGCAGCCCCCGCTCTCTTGGGCTCCTTGGAGCTGTGTTTTCTATGGGAAAAGTCTCTCTTGAGGCTGGACTTTTTCTCCTGAGATTTCCTCCTGCAGGGTGGGGCCAGGTTTTCTACAGCCACTTCTGCCTCCTGGCCTTGAGGCTGCTGTGGAGGAGATGAGAGAAACTGAGTCAGGGCTCCTGACCTTGAGGAGACTGCAGGTGAGCTGGGGAAAGAGACCTGCTGTGGGCTGGTGGGTGCGGCCCAGGGCGAAGAACCATGGATGCCGGGCACGGGGAAGGAGTGTGATCTGGAGCTGGCTGGGGCCTGGGCCGGGCTTTGGCAAGACGCAGAATCAGGGGAGGGGAAGTTATTCCGCCAGGCAGGGTCGGGGGTTCCACAGTGAGGTCAAGGTTACACGGGCAGTATCTTCCTCACCTCCTCGCCCCGCTGTCCCTCTGCATCCTGGAGTAGGGCGATGATCTTCTGGATGAATTCTCCTAAAAAGATCCAGGTGCCTGCTTACACTCCAGTGCTTAGAAAAGCCCTCCTGTGGTCAATCTGCATTTCCTAAGGCGGCTCCCTGCGAGATTCTCACAGGTCCTGACCAGGGCTACACGCCCCGGCCCCTCGAGGGTGCCGATGCGCGCCGTCAGGGGGTCCTGAGGGCAGAGCCGGTTTCCTGGGACACGTGTTCACTCGTCTGTTCACCTACCAGGGCCCGCACACAGACGAGAGGCCCTGGCTCCAGGAGAAGGCCTGTTCCCCAAAGGCCCCTCCCACTGCACCTTCCTCCCTCCAGGTAGAGCAGGGCCCTTCCCGCTTCCCCTTCAAGGCACATTGTCGATAAAAAGCAAATGGGGCAGAATAGGGGCAGGGAAGCAAAGATCCTTAAACATATTTTCAGACACGAAGAACTGACAAGATTACATGATTCTAGGCCTGGCTCTGCTGATGGTAAAATAATAATAACAGTGATGGCGACTACCACGTGTTGAGCTTCTCTCCTACGGCCCCCACCTCTCTTCCTACCCTCTTTACTTCTCCTGAGGCTCTGTCCACAAGCTGGGCCACCTAACAAGAATGACAAGTGTCAGCTAACATGTACTAGCTGCTAACAGGTCCTGCTCTAAACGCTGTCTAGGCGTTCATTCCTTTAGAGTCACCAGCAATTCTAGGAAGTGGGTGCTTTATTATCCCCATTTTGCAGATGAGGAAACTGAGACCAGGAATGAAGTAACTTGCCCAAGTTCACACAGCTTGAAGGGGTCAGAGCCCAGATTCAAGCCCAGGCCTTAAAGATCACACCAGCCCTTGCCGTGGGCCAGCACGTTCCTCCCACCGCCTCACGCTGCCGCTAGGAGGACAGCACTGTCGCCATTGACATTTACTGAGGCTCGGACAGTGTGTGTAACAGGCCGCCTGGCTCGGGCCTGGGCTCTGGGCCCCACGCAGCCTCCCCAGCCTGCTGGACTCAGGGTCTGGACAGGTCACTCCCTCCCTGTGGCTCAGTTTCTCTTGCGCAATTGGAGAGTCAGACCGGAAGTTTTCCCAGGGGTCTCCGAAAAGGAGGGAGCACTGACTGTATTCCGAGGCTCTGTCCAGCTGCGGCTCCTCGCCGGGTCCCTGGCTTCCTGGGTGGGCGGAAAGCTCGAAGGGACTGGGACCCCCGCCGTCCATAGACAGGGCCCCCTGGGCTTCGGGTTCTTCCAAGCCTGAGAAACAAAATGAAACGGTGGGTGTGTTTCGTCAGTCGGAGGGTGTTAACTACGCACAGAAGCTGGCGCAGCCTCCACCGTGGGCACCGTGGCTGGATCACGCTGAGGCCGTGGCAGGCTGGAAGTGAGCGGCTGGGCCAGGCCGTGTCTCTGACTTACTGCTCCAGACCAAGCTCCCTAATCCCTTCATACCTCCACAGAACCGGCTTTCCTGGGCTTTGCTGCCCTCTCCTCCCTCCCTGGGGCCCCCATCCCGCCAGCATTTTGGCTTGATCCACAGGTTGAACGGTCGATGCCGGATTCCACGGCATGAAGTAACGGATCATGCCAGAATCCCCCTGCGTGAAAATATCTCCCCGTGTGGCCTCAAATTCCGCCACTGGAGACCCACTGTTTGGTGTTAAGCATCAAAATGCAAATGCCCCTGGCCAGGACGCCCAATCAGGCTGCTCCTCCCTGACACCCAGGAAGAAGCGATCTGATCCTTTCTCCCTCCAGCTCCGGCTTCATCGCCGATGGGCTGTGTGACCTGGAGCACAGTTTCACCTCCCGAAGCCTCAGTTCCCTCATCTGTAAAGTGGGGACAATAACTGTATTTCATAAGATAGCTCTGAGGACTGACTGAGATACAGATACACAGTAGGGAAGTATCTTATTTTGTCGGTGAGGAAACCGAGGCACAGAGATGGGGAATGACACAGAAATCCAGCTCAGAGCGCAGGCCTCCTGCCTCCCGGTTCCAGTTCCTTCCCACACACGCTACCATCCTCCCCGCCAGTGTGTGCACGAGGGTGCGGCCGCCGAGAGACGAGGGTGGCTGGGGGGGCCCCAAATGTGATTTCCCTCAAGGGCTTAGCCGGGCTGCCCGGACCGTAGTGGGGTTTTGTGTGGAGGGACCTGCTGGCGTGCCTTCTCTCCTCCCACGGCCCTCCTCTCGCCACTCAGGGCCGAGTGCAAAAGTCAGACTGGGCGGCAGCCTTTAAAGTAGCCAATTCCAGCCCTGGGGAAGGTTCCAGAGGGGGAGGCAGCTGCAGGGTTGCTATGGCAACTGCGGGGCCTGCTCACCAAGGCTGCTGGAGATGGAAGGCCGATGGCCACCGACACACAGGGCTAGGGGCAGAAAGCCGGGCCTCTTGGGTGGCCGGGCCTCTGGGCTGGGAACATCTGCAGCCCCCGCCCTCTTGGGCTCTTCAGAGCTGTGTTTCTTAAGAGAAAAGACTCTCTTGGAGCTGGACTTTTTCTCGTGGGATTTCTTCCTAGAGGCTGGCGCTGGGTTTTGCAGGGCCATCTGTTGAAGTTGCTGTGGGGGAGAGGAGAGAAACTGAGTCAAGCCCCTAACCTTGAGGAGAGGGGAAAGCTCCCCTGGAAGCAACTAAAGAGCCACCAAGCTGCAGGACAGCTCCAGGCAAGGGGAGGGCTGAGCTCTGGGAGCAGCAGAAGAAGGCTTCAGGGAGGGGAGGGACAGGAGCCAGGCCTACAAGGCCAGGTCGGGCTTGACATGGGATCTGCATGGGTAGTTTGCTCCTCACCTCTTCTTCCCACTGGTCTCCCACTCTTTTGAGCAATTCCACTATCCTCTTGATGATAGCATCCTCTGGAAGGAAGCAAACGCACCCGGTTACTCTTTCTAAATCCCCTGATAACTCTTTCTAAATGACTGTCTTGGATGTCTCTTAAAACAGCTCCTTAGGCCATGCAAGGGGGGAAAAGCACCACATCCCAGGGGCCGGCCCTTCTGCGAGAGGGTTGGAAGACCCGCACGGGAAGGGCACTAAGTCAAAGCATGGCATTTCATGTAGGAAATTTCAGGTCAGCTCTTCAGGCATTCAGCTTGTGCCCCACTCTTTCCTTTGAAGTTCACAGATCTGTGAACCTCCACTGTGTGTTCAGTAAGCTGTGTGAACTTGGGTAAGTCTCTTAACCTCTCTGGGCCTTCATCTCTTTCTTTCCCTGTGAAATGAGAATCATAATCCTTTTCCTGCCTCCCTCAGAAAGCTGTCAGGACATCAGATAAGGGACTGGGCTTGGAACACTTTGCAAAACTAGTGCTGATCTTTCAACCTGCAAAATTCCACTGGGGAAAATGGTGGGCGCGCAGCCCAGCTAAGGCAGAGGACAGAGGGACATCAGCAGGCGTGACAAGGAGAGAGCCTGCCACACTGAAGCCTCAACCGCACTCCCCAGTCATCACAGAGAAGCCACAAACAGCAGAAATGGTTTCCTTTGACCTGCTCAAGGACAATGTCCTCAGAGTGTCTGTCCTCTGCTGGTTGCCAGCTGATCCATTTACGTGAAAAGAAATGCAGACAGACCCCGTTCCTAGGCTATCTGCAGGCTCCCCTCCTTCTCTCCCTCTCACATATATTCTGTCTGCTTTTGCTCCTGGACTCAGTCTACCAGCTGATTCTCTCTCGTGTGGGAAAATGATTAGCTGTAAAACAACCGAACAGCCTGCAGAATAACTAACTAAATACCTTTTAGTTATTCTTTGACAGATGCATAGCTCCTCCATTTCATATCTTTTAAAATATACCCACGTTTTTTTACAGGGAATTAGATGAATGTGGTATTATTTTCTCTCTCTCTTTCATCTCTTTTTTTAGAGACAGGGTCTTGCTATGTTGCCCAGGCGGCCTTAAACTCCTGGGCTCAAGCAATCCTCTGGCTTCAGCCTCCAGAGTAGCCAGGACTATAGGCATGCGCCACTGCACCCAGCTAAAACAAATTTCATAAGACTAAAAAACAGTCCCATCCCCATTAACACATAAGGCAGGAGCATTTGCCGGCAGCCTTCCCAATTCCTCAGACTCCCTTCTGGAAGACTCTAAAATAAGCAAACGTGGCCAGAAGTACCAGAAGAAGAAAGATCAGTGCACATGTTTTGAGAGCCACCAGCCCAGGTCTCAGTCATCATTCAGAGCAATCCATCTCAACTGGTGACAGCCACGCCGGCCGTGGACAAAAAGACGCTAGAGATTCTCACTCACGGTCAGGCTTTTCGACCTCCTCTTCTCGCTGGTGCCCGGTGGCTTGGGGAGAAACGTCCGAAGCAGCACCACCCTCCTCAGTGAGCAAGGACTGGTGGGGACCAGAGCCCTCCCCACCTGGAAAGCAGAAGAAAGCAGTGGGTGTGTGGGTGTGTGCGTGGGGGTGTCGGTGACATTCTCCTAACTCTGTTAATCAACACGAGCAAACAACACAGAATTCAC